ATTTTCTGGTGCTTTCACTTCCAGAGACACTTACAAGCACTGTGTAACTGCCTCGAGGGTGCTTGACCATTTCAACACAACGTGGTGCGATCATCCCCCGGGGGGGGGGGCAGGGGGGGGTATTCAGAGAAAGGTGGGGTTGTCCCTTGCCCCCCCCGGTGTTTTAAACCTAAAAAAAATGTCCTGATCCTACTCGCACGTTCACAACTACTAGATCGGCCGAGGCAGGCGTCCTCTTGATGCTATTTCCATTTTCCAATCGGGTCCATACCGTACATCACACAAGACAGCACACCTCCTGGAGAGATTTTCAAAGCTCGATTAATCAAGAGCAGAAAGAGTCGCAGCGCCGAAAACCGCGGCGTTGAAGCCGTCTGATCGAGAGCTAGCTTTTCGAAAATGCATCATTTCGTTTCTGCGTCCTCCCCGTCGTGGAGTAATCGACCTTTGAAAATCGGTCAGGGGGTGTGTTATCTTGTGTCGTATTCGGTACCGTTGTATGCCGATCCGATCCCCTGCTCATTCCCAGAGAGTGCTTCCATGCCATGCACGTATGGTACGAAGATACCGCGTAGTTTGACGGTTCAGGCCCTCTTCCCACCACAGTGACCGATATTCCCAATAGAGATAAATGAACCGCAAAGGTACCGCGGTATTTGTGATGTTCCCATATCGACCTAAGCTTTACGTGCCATGTTCCTATATAGATGCCGTGTTACTTGCCATGGTCCCACCTAGATACGCGTTACTTGCCACGTTCTCATAGATAACACGTTAGTTGCCGCCTCTTCAGCGGGGCGATTGCTCCCTCGTCTCCCTCTCCACACAAGCGCCCATGTTTCCGTGCAGGGGCAACAATACAACAATCGTCTGCGGCTCTCTGTAGGCGGTGACTCTTCCCTCCTTCTGCTTGCAGCTTTCTCTAGACGGTAACTGTTCCCCCCTCCTGCTCGCTGCTCCCTGTAGACCGTGGCTGACGGTTCGCCTTCTTCTCACGCGGACGTATTTGGCCTTGCTGCGTTAAGATGCGCCCACCCACCCCCCCTCCCCCCCGAAAAAAAACGCGTTTCTCGCTGAAATTGAAGTGTCCGAAATGCACCCTACATGTGTTGCAGGGACATAACCACCGCATGAAGACGCAGCGTCTTTTCTTCCTTTTTCCTTGGTCGGTCGTCGTCGTTTCGTCGGAATTTCCTCACCTGCACGTACTTGAAGGCCTCCTCCGCCCTGGGGTCGAACTTCTCGGCGTTGTCGTGAATGGAGCTCACGTACTGCGAGTGCTTCGCGCTGAAGTGGATGTCCTGGTTCATCTGGTTCATCACGAACCCGACCACGCCGCTTTGCTTCACCCTGGGACCCGTCGCGGCCACCTGAGAGAGCCAAGCACAACAACAGCAGGAGGGGGCGGTTTTGGTCAGGCAGTCATCGAGCGTGACGGCGATTCTCGTGGCTGGGATACAACTTTATGATCACCCATGGCCACCTGAGAGAGCCAACCACAACAACGGGAGGGGGGGGGGGGGGCGTACTCTTATGTTTTGCATGCCTTAGCGGTTAGACCATTGACCACGCGTCCTCGAGAGGACGGAGCATTGTTCCCACAGGACCGATCACCGATGGCCAATCGTTCCTTCCTACTTTGCCAAAGGTGGCTCAAAAATGTCTTAAACGGGAGGGGGGGGGGGGGTGGTCAATCAGTCACCATCGCGCGTTACGCCGATGCTCGTCGCCGGACTAGACACTTCTCAGAAAGTATCACCCTTGGCCACCTACTTGCGAGAGCCAAGCACACCGACCACAGGAGGTGGTCGCGCGTTACGCCGATGCTCGTCGCCGGGCTAGACATTTCTCAGGAAGTATCACCCTTGGCCACCTACTTGCGAGAGCCAAGCACACCGACCACAGGAGGTGGTCGTTGGTCAGCAAGTCACAGCGCGCATAATACCGCTACTCGTCGTTTCACTTAATAGGCCAAGACAAAACGATAAAAAAGATTCCGACATGAAAATATTTCCAAGTTTCCGGTGCTATACGCCGCCGTTGTTTTCGTCCTCGGCAAAATACCGTACCGTGCAGGTTGCATAAGATATCACACCTCCTGGCCTGATTTCAATGCTCCATTACTTAACAGGGGAAAAAGCAGTGACGGTGCCGAAACTTTGCGGCCTTGGAACCGTCTCGTCGAGAGCTATAATATAATAGGACGGAACCCTTCAAGGCCGGTGATCGAAATCTAAAGCTATCGCTGGGGAGGGCATCTAAGTGATTGCACCGTGACTCCAATATACCCTAATAGCCCAAGAACGAAGACGGGACCCTGAAAAGACGGTGAGACGCTCATAGCCCTGTCACTGCTGGGGAGGGCATTTCAGTGATTACACTGTGACCCCCCAATAAAACCGCAGCCCAATTATAACGAGGATGGGACCCTAAAAAAACGGTGATAGATAAATCTCAGTCACTGCTCGGAGGACATCCCAGTGATTGCATCCTGACCTCTTTAAAACTGGCCCAAGTACAACGAGGACGGGACCCTCAATAACCGGTGACACATACTTCCTTAGCCTTGTCAATGCTGGGAAGGGCGTCTCAGTGCACCCTGACCCCTAACGCAGGTTGACGTAATATACCACACCCCCGTTTGGACCGGTTTTAAAAGAACGCTGGATCGTAGGTGACATGACAGAAGATACCACAACCCCCTGGAACGATTCTCAAAGCTCCATTGCTCCACGACGAAGACGATGCTGAAATCGAAGGTACGTTGTCGGAAAGCCAAATAGGGTTTGGGTTTTACTGTACAGGGGTCACGTTGCACCGAGGTGCCCTGCACACTAGTATCACGTCTAGGTATCTCACTGGCGATCGACGATACCATCTTCGTGGTCCTGGGGCTAGGTTTACAGAGGTCACGTTGCACTGACATGTCCTCCCCAGCCGTAACAGGGCTAGATTTCCCACCGGCTTTTCAGGGTCCCGTCCTCGTTGTACCTGGTTGAGGGCTGTAGAGACCAGGGTGCGCTGAGATGCCCTCCCCAACGATACGGCTGAGTTCACACCCGCCTTTCTGGGTCCCGTCGTCGTACTGGGTCTAGGGCTATACCAGAGGTCAGGGTGCACTGAGATGCCCTCCCCAGTGACAGGGCTAGGTTTCCCGCCGGCTTTTCGGGGTCCCGTCCTCGTTGTACTGGCGCCAGCGCTATACCAGAGGCCAGCGGGGCCGCTGAGATGCCTTCCCCAGGGGTAGGGATAGAAATTTCACCCGCTATTGAGCATGCGATAACTAGATGCCCTCCGCAGCGACACGGTTAGATTTATCACCGGCTATCGAGGAGGCCGTCTTTCCTGTACTTGAGAAATGCTACGTAGGGGTCAGGGTGCGCCGAGACGCCCTACCCAGCAATAGAAGACGGCCTCCAGAATATCCGGGGGGAAACCTAGCCGTGTCACAGGGGAGGGAGGGCATCTCAGGTATCGCACCCTCAACAGCTGATGAGAATTCTACAACTAACCGCTGAGAAATTCTAGAATTCTCACTCATCGGCTATTGAGGGTGCGACAACAGAGATTCCCTACCCTAGC